GGATATCTGCAAAATACAAACACAATTGTTTGATAAATTTACTTAATGACTTCCAAAGTTGCAGCAAAATTATGTGAAACACTGAAGTTACCTGCATTGCAACAGGAAAATCGTCCGCAAAATCAGGTGGGAAGAATAGATCAGCTTGTTTCTTACTAAATCCAGGTTTCCCTGAGAAATTTGAGGGAATATGTATATCAGTAAGAATAAAATGAATATTCCAAATCTACAAGTAGTACACGAATTGCTCTTCAAAGACTGGCAATACGAACTATTATATGTGAGTAATGCGACAAAAGCAGACAATCGAGAAATAGCATTCTGACAGCAAAGGAAACAAGGAGTTTGGCTAATGTCCAAACAACAATGCAAAATCATTTATCTAACTTCTGCTATATATATATATATATATATATATATATATATATATATATAAAAAGCTACAATACATAAAGCATGTCGACCATAAGATGGAAAAAACATATATATCCAGTAAAATTCAAGATCAAAAATTCATAATTGTCAGCATGAAAATTTTTGTGATAAAACGAAAGAAACTGCAAAATATCATACCAGCCTGAGCACCAAGTTCAATGACATGCAACTTTGAAGTAACTTGACCAGCATTGGAGGTCTTGCTGGCAAAGGCAATAAGAGTCGAAGGATTTTCATTTCCAGGAACCTACACACAAATATAATCATCAGTGATTAACAAGTAGGGAGAAAACATCATTATAAGTAACAAACTACAAATATGGGTAGGAGCATTATTGGGATATGAACCTTAAATTGAGCAAATGAAGCTGCATGAGCTTCAAGAGCTTGACTGCGTTGTTGATCCACTGAAAACAGCTGCATGTTTCCCTTAACCAATTGTGGTCTCTGCAATGTTATAAGACAAATCCTGAGTTATATCATCAGGCAAAGAGGAGAGAGAGTCCATACCATATTTTTCTTTTAACATACATGTTAAGTACTGAATGAATTACTCTGATATTACTTCATAATAATTAAGAAAAGGTATATCCCAATGACCTAACTCTTGGTGGAGATCATCAATAATATATGACTAATGTTTTAACAACAGCTCAGTCTTTTCAAAATGAAGTTTAAAATGCATATGCCTAGAATGATATTTGGGTTGTATAACCTCAATGACTAAACTTGACTACATTGGCAAAATTATTTCACTGACTTTAGTAAAATCTAAAAACATATATGAATTTCCTGCTTAAGATTTATAAACAGCACATCATACATATTCAAAGAATAAGCGGTAGTGAGATAAAATAGTAATTTATCAAGCTCCACCAACCCCTAGACTATATAAATTAGGTAAAGTCAAACCTCAGGAGCGCCAGGAGCAATTCCGATCAAAACCAACCATTTCTCTGAAGGATCACAACGGTAATTGATTATTTGATTGTTTGCCAGATTTGCAGTCCGCTCAAACATTTTCACAGGCTCGGTATCACCTAAACACGGTAAGCATAGTTTCTTAAAACTTGCATTCAGGGGAAGACGATCAAAAGAAGAAAATATTATTATTGTGGGCAAAGAAACTTACCTTCAATTGACCAGTGGTATACTGATGTCTGTGTTACAAGGCCCAACATTTTAGGGGTAACCCATTTCCAGAAGACAACCTACAAGGAGGCAAAAAAAAGAGACAATAGACTAATGTAAATTTCCAGATCAGGAAAGCAAGCAACCAACAGCATGACCAAATTATGCTCAATGAAAGTCCAATATGCAGCATACCATCTCAGGCATTTGGTAGGACTTTATCTTTGCTTTTGCTTCAATATTGAAAATCTGAAGGTGATCCTGAGTAGTCCCCGGAAGTTGAGCTTCATATCAAAAATCACAAATCAGACAACATCCAAACCCCTGCCCTACTCCACCCCCAATCCCCAATGCGCCAATAGAACTGTAATTAAACTTAACACTTGTAGCTTATGCAATCATACTCTGTACCACAGAAATAACAAAATTCTAGAGCAGATGACTAGAACTTGGGTTAATGTACAAAAATAAAACATCTTTGAGAACACGTAAAAAAAATTACAACCTAAAATTTAAACCTAACAGTCTAACAGTACTGTACGAAGCCAAACACGAAATGTGTCATCAATAGCAGCAACAGCTACCACAAAGAAATGAAAAAATTTATAGGCAAATGTGACAGCATAACAGCCCCAAATTCACTGAAACTGTTCACTAGCATCTAACTATGCAAGTACTCTTTCACATTGAAGAAAAGGGAGAGCATGAGAAATGCAATCCTACCTTTAAGAGCAAGAATTCTCGAGTTAGGGTTCATCAAAGCAGAATCAGCCGTGATTGGACGCCTCAAAGGCTGATTAGGCATGTTCATGTCAATAATAACAACGCTGTTCTGAGGCGAGGTCTCTCTCACACAAATGTACTTGTCTGATTCCATCGTTACATGAGTGAAAGTAATGAATTGTGCCCCGATTCCTACGCTTGGAAGCTGCAAATCCCAGTAAAAAAAAAATAAAAGGCCAGCTTCACTCCAAACTTATAAAATCCAACAAAACATCTTAATTTTACAAAATTTAGAATTAAGATTCTAAAGTGGCAAGTTCAAATGAATAGCACTGACTCAACTTCAGTCTAATCTCAGACACAGGTGAAATTCGTCCTAATTCCACTGAATTTACAGATCATAATTTAGTGGCAATTACACTAAACTACTTCAAATTCGCAAATTCCAATAAATTCCACCAACTCAACTTAACTACTAATCAAAATCAATAACCAAGCATAATTAGCAACCCTAAAAATCGTATATTTCCAGTGAATCAACCAAATTCAACTTCACTCAATTACATCGACTCAATTATACAGAATTTCCAATCAAATCTGTAACAAAGCACATCAATAAAAGTCCAAATCAACTAAAAAGCTCAATTACAACAAAGATCTGAGCAGATCCGATAACGCAACCAAACATACAAACAACACCAAAATCACTAGGGTTTTCAACTCAAATAACTCAAAACATCAAACAAATTAACAAAAAAGCACCAAAAAATCTCAAAATCAAAGCTGAATTTGAAAATGAAGAGGCAATAGAGTTTACCGTTAGAACTTCCTTCATGACAATAGGAGCATTAGCGGCGGCAGCCATGGCTGAAGATTAAGTAGATCTCAGAGTGAATCGAAAATTAGGGATTTGATTTGATTTGATTTGATTGTTGTGAGTTGCGAAGAATGGAAGTGCGAACCCTCCCTTGTGAAAGCGAGGGTTCTTGGATGATGAGAAACCAGAGGAGAGAGAAATATCTGTGTGTTAGAGAGAGAAAGTGAAGAAGAGAGGTGAAAGAAAGGAGAAGAAAGTGAGGAGATCTGTTGGATAAAAATACGAGTGAACTAGTCTCAATTTTGTGACTGTCTTAAAATGTGAGCGAGTAAAATTCTACGGAGTAATCGTATCTCTTGTTGTTTTATGGGGGTTGTTCGAAATCAAACTGTTGCGACTAAATAAATGTATTTCGTAGGAAAATAAAGATTACGCAACATTAATTTTAGATATGATATGAAATTTATAATTAATTAAGATTATGCGGGATTAATGTTTTGTGCTATGATACTTAACTTCACTATTAGTATGATATGAAATTTATAACATGCGCGACTATACTCTAAAATGGTAGTATATCTAATGTGTGCCTCGTACGGATATTATTGAATATGTATAATTTGAGTGTTTACCATATCTATCAAGAAGCGAACACAACAATAGATTAGATAGCAAGCGTAGGTCATTTAGTAAGCAATGATATGTATATTATTCTTGTTTCGTCAAAAAAAGATACGGATATTATTCTTGTAATAACTTTGGTTTAGGATTCTTTTTTCAGATGTACTGAGAGAGGATTTTGTAAACATGTTTTTTTTTTTTCCTTTTCTTCTCTTTTTATTAAAAAATAAAAAACAATTTTTACACCTTTATATGCAATATTTGTCGTTTGAATACCCTTATTATTTTTTTATTGGTCCAATATTTGCGGGTCAAACACTTTAAGAGTGAGGGGGAAGGGTAACGGATCCTCACCCTCAAAGTGTCTCTAGTGGGGATTAAAACCCCAACCTCAAGGTTAGAAGGTGACAATCTTCCAATCCCACTAAACCAAGCTTAGATTGGTTATTATACTGTGATTACTTTGACGTTTATGTAATGCAGTTTTTGTAAGAGAAGGGAGTGTTTGATCTCTATGTCTTAACAAAATTTAAATAGTGTAATTTTAGAGTAATATTTGTTGGAAATGAAATAATGCTCATAGAAATTGAAAGGTCTTCCTATATTCGACAAAAATTAAGCAAGGTTAAATCTCACCTTTTTTTTAATACAAACTTTATCTAGATCGCACAACATATATAAGTTACAAATTACATTTTGAAAGCTTAATGACCAAATTTAAACTTCCTAAAATTAAATTTTTAAGTTGAATAACATTAATCACGGTATCTTATATTAAGAAAAACACATATTATAGTCCATTGCTTCGGAATAAATACCCCACTTTAATCGGCACATTTGTGGAACTTTGACTAATGATATACTTAGTATTTAACTATCTTTAAGAATATAAAGTTAATATATGAAAAGTATGTATTGAGACGATTAGAATAAATATCAACATTATTATGTACGACTATAAAAACTTAAAAGCACAAACAGAGGTCAAAATGGTGTGTGAATATGCAAAAAATCAAAACGGGACATTTGATTTAAAACGAAAATAGTATTTCCAATATTATCTAAATGTATACATTAACATAGTACTTCGTATTAGAATATTTCGATGAAGAATACTAATATATTATATACTTCAAGTAGTTCATCAAATGGATTAGTGAGAACATGAAGATATATTTTTTTTCATCATGTTGCAACAATATGTTCATTTTATTTGTTTTTTTTTTTTTTTTTTGACGGGACATTTTATTTGTTGTATGTTAATGGGTCTAGCTTATAAATTCTGCCTTCCTTCTGCCAAGCTGCCAACAGCTAAAAAGCATTGCTTTCTTGCTGTCCATTGGAAAAAGGCCCATATCAATTTGTGAGTTGTATAATCCATGTTTTGCTACACAGGCCCATTAAATTAAAAAGAAAATTAGCTCAAAATGCTTTAATACAAACACACCAAGTCTCCAAATCCATCACATTCCATGCGGCCCAACATATTTGAGCTTCTTCTTTTGTTTTCAAGGAAACAACATATTTGAGCTCAGAACTATAGAAATGAGTATTTTTTTGAAAAAAATTAATAGAGGTAAGAAGAGTATACATTGAACGTTCTCCTCAAGGGGTTACACCTAACGACATACTCGTACTAGTAAGAATCGAGAGCAGTTACAAGCTACTACAACGATCAATATGCTACATTTGCTATCCAACTTGCGGCTCTATTGGCTTCCTTTTATATGTGATGAATATCTTACTTGACAAATGCTCAGAGTTAATTGTTAAGTATATCAAAGTGTTTATGATATTCTCAGTCATAATACACAATACATTGGTCACTATAGGACTATAGTACGTAGTTCTAAACTATTCTCGATCCTTGCGAGTGGATTTCATGTAGTCTAGCTGGTCAACTATATATAGTAGTCCTAAACATTGTGTAATCAATTTCGTCCAACATGACTATCAAAAAAAGTATAACCTATCTGAAAAAGAATTTTGATACAACTTCTCAATGCATAAAAGGATATAAATGACACCGGCTTATCCACCTTGAAAAAGTACCGACATGTATACACATACAATATATAAACTCGGGTTAAATTGATCGAAATGTTTCTTACTAATGGTCGTAATATTTATTTAATTATTTATTTATTGAAATAATTAGTAGAAACAATAAGGTCGCAAAGGGAAATGATATTATCGAATTCAATCACATGACTATTTGTTATCACCCCAAGAAGATTGCATATATGAATACAAGTTGTTTATCATTTATGTGAACAATAGCCAATCAAGTTGATCTAGATAATTTCAACTCTAAATAGATCAAATATGGAATATTCTCATGCATATAGGGATCTATTATTCTAGACAACATGACAAAGTTAAAAGCTAATTATAAAATTAATCCTCATTACATAAAAATAAAGTATTCAAACTACTGCTAGAGTACTAGGACTAACCACTTTTCTAATCTAACTTTTATGTTTTCACTAGCTTTATAAGTTATAATCCAACAGATCAACCACCATGATGTAAATTACTTTTACAAGAACCTTTATACCCGCCTAAAACAAATATCTTCTTAATGAAACAATGCACATCAATATAAAGACGCAATTGGGTGAAGTTTTTGATATGAATGGAATATATTTATAACCTAAGTTGCAATTTGCATAAGTAATTAAGGAGATATATATACAAAGAATTAGTATGGATTAGGAGATAGGATAAGAATATGTGTATGCTTAGGAAACCAGCCGAAGATACGACCAACCAAGTGTTTCTTTGTTTCTTGACTATATCCCAACAAAGAAGCAACCATCCAAATCAAGCAATAATCCTTTGTTTCTTCAAACTATATTGTTCATCAATGAGGGTTGTGATGGAATTGTTGAGACCCCAATTGGAAAAACATACCCACTTTAAGGCATGTCAAAGATTGTCCGGGTTCGTTGTCTCTACTAGTATACTAATCCTTAATAAGTTCATTCGTAACATATTATGTGATCAACTTTTTATTTAACTATTTGATCTAAAAAGATACGCACTAACATCATATTGGACCTCTTTGATATGTTATAATCCACGGTCTATCAACAATAATTCTTTTACTCGATTACATTGACTCAACCCAATTATCAATCTAAAATAAATTAGCCCTTGGCTCAATTTTTAGCCCACTTACCAAGTTTAAACATTGAATTGGTTTCCGAATTCAAATAATAGTTTACAATTCCTTTTATATTATAACCTGTGTTACTCAATCTCACTCATATTAATCATATAAGATTTCAATATCCTTCTGTTTAGTGGCTGCAATCAAGTAAAAACCGGTAAGAAAGAACAAAACATAAATGTAAAAAACAAAAAAACTTGTCATTATTAATTCTTTAAAGGTAACAAAAAAAGGAAAGAACCGAGTTGGATTTGACAAAAGATAGTAAGAAAGCAAAGCATGTGAGATAAGGAATTAGAAGGGAACCAAAAGCATGTGAAATATATGAAGCAAAAACTTCCATATATTAAAAGTGGCTAGCTGTTGATGAACCATATTTAACTGTAAGACAACCGAGTATATCGTAACTATTATCTACACTTGACTACACTACACTACACGTGATTAGCCATAACATTGAGATAAAATTGAATAGAATTCAAAGTTTATGTAAATAATAGAGAGATAAAATCCAAGTCAGATCATATCATACCAATTTCTTATTGTGTGGTTGTTTATTGAACCCGTCTTTTTCATGCCTACTTGTGCTCTTTGCCTGTGCACTTGCCGTCTTTGCCTCGGACCTTCTCGTTCTTCCCAATAGCCCAACGCCTTTACTTCGCTCCTAAAGTCTTTTTTTTTTTTTTTTTTTACATTATCCACTTATTTTATGTAAATTACTTATTATATTATTTGTCAACCGCATAATTTCAAGAAAGATTGATAAACTTGTTGCCTCAAAAAATATAAATAATACGGAGTATAAAAGATTATAGTATAATATACTTGATCCTTACTTAAATACTTTATCCGTTTCAGAATAATTAACTTGTCTGACTTTATTTTAACCTAAAATTTATAGAGTTTTGACCATAAATCAAAATCGTAAATATCGCATCAAAACATTATATAGTGTAGGACTTAGCTGATATTTGTTTCATCTTAATATACAGTATAGTAAAATATAGAAGAATAACTTTTTAAATCGACGCAATTGGGAATGATTAATGCATGCACAATAAATCAGAAAAAAAAAAAAAAAAAAAAAAAGTTAAAGTTAAATAAGGACAAATAAGTCGATAGGATACTATATGTACATAGCTTACTCCCTTGGCCTTAATTCTACAAAATTGTTTTTTTTCCAACTTTCTCTTAAGCTTATCTTAATTAATGGTCATAAATGGCTACTCGTTGCTTTCTTTGTCACTTAAAAATATTCCTAATTAACCTAGTACCAAGTATTTGATTACATGCAATTTGGGCAACTAGATAAATATCCAACTTGGTCAAGTTCATTGTTGTTTGACTTGGCTTAGGTAAGTTCGTTGTACCATTCATTTTCATAATTCCATTTTAATAAAAGATAAATAAATAGTACTTATAATATTACATGGCTTCTTTTAGAGTAGTAGCATACCTAATATCCATATTAGTAGCAACCCACATCTTATACATGCACACCTAATTGATGCCATCTTAATCAAATAACTGTTATCTTTTTAAAATTTATATTATTGCCAACTTAAAACTTACCCTTTACTTTTTTAAGGCAATGAACTAACTCAACTAATGTGTCGTGTCATGAGAAGTTATTGGGTTTGAACTTCTCTAATCATCACTTAATTTCAAATTTACACATACTAATCAAATCATGAAACTTATTACCCCCATGGATCCTTATTTCTCAATCAAAGTTGATAAATCTTTGCCATACATATATTTCAGGTCGTTAATATAAAATGGGTAATTTTCAGCTCATCAATATATATATTAAATACCCGAACAAAATAATCCTTTAAGATGAGTATTAATAATCAAACTACGTGATTTTAATATGTCGTTAATATTCCGTACAACAAGAGTTTGTTGAATTCTAATTATATTGCTTGAGTTGACTAGTTAAATTAACACATAAGTCTTTTTTTTTCTCTTCAATAAAGAAAATCAACACGTTGTAAATAGAAGGTAGGAATTATCCAAATGAGGCAATATGCAGCACACCAATATGATAGACTTTGACTTGGTATTGACTTTTTGATTAGTAAACTCATTTAAGCATTCAAAGTAAACCATGTTAAAATTATAACAAAAAATATTACTACTACTTGGGCCATTATTCCAACTTGACAAGAAAATAAAAATAACAAACAAGTAATCATATTTACTCATAATTTTATTATTTCTTGTAAAAGAATACAATACAACTAATAAAAATAATAGTGACTTTAAAAATAACAATATTTCTACTCTTTCATGAATATTATTATTCTCAATCATATCCCCACCACCACATGAATCACTGTGACCGCACCGTCCACCGCCGCCGTCCGCACCGCTAACACTACTAATTTTCTCATCATTATCATCATTAGAACTACTTGAACTTAAATTTACCCACGTTGGAATTGTCCAATTTGCCCCTTCAAAATCAGAATATTCCGAACTTGTCCCTTCCGAAACCTCCTCTTCTTTCTTGCTCCTTAAACATCTTACCTCCTCCCAACCTTCACTTTCCCAATTTACCCTCATCGTGCTCGCTAATTTACCCACCCTATCCCTCGCCGACGATACCCCTTCGAATAATCCATCACACCAAGACGACAACGGCGACGAAGGTGTTGATGACGAAGGTGTTGATACTTCATCATCATCAGAGAAATCAAGATTGTTCCAATCAAGAATACTTCTAGGAGTAGACTCTGTAACCTTGGAAACAGTTACAGGGACTAAAAATGGGTGTTGGAGTAGCTGATCACAGCTCCAGCGTTGTTCCGGGTTGCGATTCAAGCACTTATCCAAGAAATCCCTTCCGAGTTCGGAGATGTTCTTCGGATATTCGGGTAATTCGTTCGAATACCCGATTTTGAACAAAGTACGGGCGCCATTATCTTGCCACGCTGGCACTCCGGTGAACATCTCAATCACAGTACAGCCAATTGACCATATGTCAGACTCGAACCCTTGCGCTTCTCCCCGGACGGCCTCGGGTGCCATCCAGAGCGGACTCCCACGTGGCACAATCTTACAACTTTGATCTTGATCACTGACAAATTTTGACGAGCCAAAATCAGCGAGTTTCACGACACCATGAGTGGACCCCACTAAAACGTTACTACCCTTGATATCACAGTGAACAACACCTTTTGAATGAACCTCCTTCAACGCCTTCACCAAGCACCACGCGTACGATCGGATTAACTCCACGTCGACACCGCCGATTCTTGCCACGTCACCTTCAGGGAGATACTCCAAGTGTAGATTCCTGTGCGACGTCGTTTCGTCGTCTCCGTAATATTCGACGATAAACGGAGAAGACAAGGATAGAGAACGGAGGATTTTAATCTCGTTCTCTAAACATTCCAAGCTTTGAAGAGATTGTTTTGAAGCTGATTTCACCGCGAAACGACTGCCGTCGGATTCCCTTAAACCAACGCTAACTGAACCGTAGCTTCCCTTTCCGATCATCTTGCCTCGAACCCACTTCGAATTTTCGACTTCCATTTTAGCTTCGATCTTAAGCTTTCCTATATTATTTTTGAATTGATTAAATTTCCTCTGTTTTTTTGCTCTGTTTTTTTTTTGAAGGGTTTTTTTTTTTTTCTTGAAAGTTGTGGATTATTGACATGGACCAAAAAGAGAGAGAAAGGCGTGTGGTATATATAGAGGTGTGAAAATTAAGGAAATTAAAAAAAAAAAAGGAAAGTTTATTAAGATATGACGTAAGGAAATTTCTCACCAAAGTTGGTTAAGAACTTTCGTTGACGTAGAAGGAAAATCATACTCGTAAATCCCCTTATTATTAACCGACTCGGTATTTCTACTGTTGTTTCATTAGTTGCATCTGCCTACTTGTCAAATAACTGCTATACACTTGGACTACGACTATATCACATTAGCGATGTAACCCTAGTTTTAGCTCGATAAGATTCTAAATGTTAGTTAATTTTAGATAAGATAAAATTTTATTTAATGTATTAGTTTCCTAAAATCACCATAAACATATCACTTAATTTTTTGGATAGGCCAAATGTCACTAGTAAAAATCACTACTCTTGGTTAATTTTTAAAAAAATAAAATATCTTTAACTTAAGTATATCTGATATGATATGAAGTACTTATATTATCTTATGGGATTTATAGAGTATCTTTTCCTAATCTCTAATATCTCATATGATATCTACATCAGATATGTAACAATTACATTAGATATTACGGAATTGTATAAGGAGTGGAATTGTATGAACTTAATTAATTAGATTTGTTTCTAGAGTATGTAGATGAGGGTTTTTACCGGAAGTATAAGGAGAATTAGAGGAAGTCAATATTGGTTGGTTGGTAAACTTTAGTTAACATTTCTTGAATAAAATTGGACACGTGGGTTGAAAGGGGATGGTTCTAGGAAAGTTAGATAGGTTCTCGAACAACAACCAAGCTAGCAAAATCACTTCGGATTTACTAGAAGATATTTATGTCAATTTTTTTTTTTGTTTGCAAACAAATACAATTTTTTTGAGATTGTATGAATATTTTGAGTGACATAATTATAAATCTTTGCTCTGTTCATCCTCTGTTTCTCATTAATACCGTACAATTAAAATTTAAAACTATAATTATTTAACAATATGAGATTATTATAATCTTAATACTAATACCAAGTCTACGAGTACTATTAAATATTGAATGCATGTAATCATATTTTCGAATATAATATTAGATCATGTTATTGCTTGTTGAGAAGCAACAAGAATATGATCTTGAGGGTTGTAATATAAAAGATTTACTACAAGCACGAAAGAGATCGCATATCTTCTAAAACATTGAATTATAAATCGCAATTATAAGGTTAGGATTCCTATTTGGGATGAGTAGTTTTGAAACGTGAAATTATGGTGAATGATATGTTATACACTACATGTCATTACTCCTCTATTTTGTCCTTTTTGTTTGAATATTTTGCTAATTAAACTAATTGTTCATAAGATTTGTTTACATTTTTAATCTCTATAGATAAGTCAATAAAGATATTTTTTTAAAAACAAAATGGATCTTGATCTTAAGCTTGACACCATATGCCTTTTTCATTAATAAAGATGCTTTTTCGTTAGTAAATAAATATTTCATAATTAACACAATGGAGCGGATTGATATCCTCTCAGTATTTTATTTACAGTACAGTCTATTTTGAACTAGTTTAATAAAGCATTTAAACTAGACCAGTGGGGACTAGCAAAAATAAATGTATGGCGTACATGGTTTAAAATTTAGTTTGGATTGATCGTGTTTTATAAACAAATTAATGAATTATATTTATTTGACAAGTTAAATTAAAGAATTAAAGGATATCTAACATAAATAGAGCCAAAAATTTCAGTCACCGATTCAATTTTAGTCAAAATATGTAACCGATTCAATTTTAGACCGGATTCGTTCATAACCATTAACATATTTTTTAAAAGAAAAAGTTAAAGGCTTTTATTAATTACTTGGAGTGCCCAACCAATGATCTATACGTAGTAGTAGTACTAGGTAGCAAGACAAGATCATAATATACACTATAACCTGAAGATGCATGCATTACAAATGCGTCAAGGAATCAAAAATGGTGATAACCATGCATAATTGAAGCTTATCACATTTGAGTGACTTAGATTACTTGAATTTGTCACCCATTACGCCACATACACATCCACAATGCTCAACAGTCAACAGTAGTCCAATTCCCCAAGAATTTAACACAAAAAGATGGCTTGTAGTAACATATGAGCCGGTTCACTATATTTTTCACGTTGTCAAACGTTATCCTATCTAACATGTTCTATTACACGAAACAAATTTACTTACAATTCTTTAAGAGTAACAAAGCGATACTAAGACGAAGACAATAGAAGTATCAATTATTAGAGTCACCGAGTCAAATTTGGTCAGGCCTACATAAAATATGAGTCTGAGATTGTTAATTGTGCTCACGTATATAAAAATAAAATCTTTATTTTAAGATTAGTTCAGAATATGTAGAATATATCAGATTAGTTTTTGACACTTCTCAGTAGAATGAGACGGGAGTACTAGTATTGAAAATTGAGAGGGGTTCAAGTAGGAAGGAAATGGAACCCTCAAACTTTAGGATGAGTTCATCCATTACGCAGTAAAAATAAGCAAGTAGTTAGCCACTTGTCAAATTTACTTTAATAAATCTTTTTGGCTGGAAAATTAAAAATAAAACGGCAAGTAGATCCAACAAGTTTAATCTGATCTGGAAAAACAGCAGCTCATAAAACTAAATAATGGGGTCCACATAAACGGGTTGACATAAACCATAGCATAGGGGCAAATTATACTAAAGCAAAGGTCATTTTTTCATAATTTCATTTTTTATTTTAAAGGGTAGAAAAAAAGATGAGGTGGAAGAATATGATTGGTTAAAGAGGAGTAGCACAAAATACGAGGCTAAGAAGAGGAGAGAGAAAGTATCTGAAAAATGTGATTGGTTGGGAAGTGAGTAGTGAGTACTTCTACGCTGCCGTTGACGTGCACCACTTCATTACCTTATTTCTTTTTTACTCTTTTTTATCTTTTGCCATTTGTCACTTCCTTATACTACCACATAATCCCCTTCCACCCTGCCTAAATTTAAATATGATTAATAACATTTGTCACACTCACATTTTTACACTCTGGCTTAATACATTTATTTTATATACTTATCTCACATTTGTCAATTTATATTCTCTTATGCCAATAAGCCGTACTTGTAAGTTAAAACACTCTGGCTTAAGTTGGTACGGAGTAAGTACTAAGTAGATTGATTGATGTCACTTAAACGGGTCTCGAGTTCGAGCTCAATCGATATAAGCTAAATGTGCGACCTTGGTTGAATTCGAGTATAGTCGAAACTAAGCTATGATGGACTGGGTGTGACATATTTGACAAAGAAGTTAAAACATCTCTGTATTTTTATCTAATTTTGTATAAGTTGCTTTATGTCTCGGACTAATCTTTATTGTACAGAGTACTATACATAATGAACTTAAGAGTATTTAAGTAACCTCTAATAAATTACAGTAAGATCAAATAAACCAAGTGATTACGACATATAGAAAATTTGGAGAAAACAAAAGTAGCCGGTGGTGAAAAGTTGTGAACAACATATTATTGGTTTCGATATTGCTTATATTAGAAAGAAAGTTTTCCTTTTTCTACTTTCATAAAATAGGACATCTTTGATCATCTTACTATAATTATTGCTCAAGCACTTCTCCCCTTCCCTTGTACGGTTGCACCAATTATTTGGTGATATATTATATGAAAAATATTATACTTTGTACCATAGCATAACATTTATATTAGATTATTAATTAAACAATTAAACTTGAAGGTTAAATTAATAGTATACGAATAAAGCATGAATGTATGTATGCATGCACGACAAATTAAGCTCAGGTAGTAACCAAAAAAAATTAAGTCACTGTTCAAAGTACTTGGCCACTAAACCTAATTAACTAATTAATTAAGTATTAAGATTAACACCAACCAGAAACGATACAAATACAAAGTAATAATTAATATCAAAATCAAATGTTATGTGCTTGGGTGTTTGGTTGCGTGGATGTGGCTTACCTTGTCGTAAACATGCGGTTTCATGACATGTCCTAGAATTCCATAGAATATTCAAATCAAACTACTTCCGTATTTTTATTATTATTATTATTAACACAGTGTGACTTTTACACTATTTATTTATTAATTTTAACTAATTATTTTACTGATACATAATCAAGTAAAATATTGTTATATTTCATATAATCTCTGTAATTTACGCATCGATAAATATAACTGGTCAAAATGTGTCAATTATTCACTAATTCATAAATTATAAAATGAACCTAGGGCATGTTCTGATACGATTATTTCCAGTTCAGTTCAGTTCTAATAAGTTCAGTTCAGTGCAGTTTAACTCTAATAAGTTTAGTTCAGTTCAGCTCTTAATTTCCTTCTCTTATAAAATATTTAGTTCAATTCAGCTCAGCTCAACTCTAATAAATTCAGTTCAGTTCAATTCAATCTATCAGAATATGGCCCCCAGTATAATTAATCATTAGAAGTTTGCAAATAAAATCAATATTTTTATTTTTTAAAAAAAAAAAATTACAGGAACTAAAACTAAATTTAATGATTTGTTTTTTAGTGTAAGCCTAGGGAAGCGTGACACTTGGTGGTGGCAATTGGCAGGACCTTTGCCTAATTGCCCACTACTTGTGTGGATAAGGCATGCGAAGGATCACACTATGGTGAAGCTTACCAAATTTGCATTGTTTTTGAGGTTTAGCTTTTTTTTCAGGATAATTTGAATTTAATTATATTTGTGTGTTATTCAACTTATGATTTTGCATATACCGAACTGTTTAAAGGACTACCATACCTTTCATGATAGCGCACATAATTGCGTCATTTATTGTATGAGTAATGATGCAATATTTGGTATGTCATCCAAGGATTAGGC